TGTGACACTGGGTCCTGCCAAGAAAGCTGTGTAAGGTTCCTCCACTGTTGCCCTGGTGTTTTTGGCCTTCTGATGTCGACATATTCTTGTTACACTTTCTCACACTCTTTCTGGTGTTGCATTTCTGTTGTTTTGCATTCCTCTTTGGAGGAAGTGAGCATTGATTGACATTGTGATGAACCAGTGGAGTCAGAGAGTCTCTTCATCACTGTCCAATCCATGCTCATTGTTTGAGATTCTATAAATAGACATGTCATGTAAAAAAAGAGGTCTTTCTTCCCCCACCAACTTGGAGTCAGGTGTTTCTCTTTGTCTCATTCTGTGTGCATCATAATGACCACACTCCACCATGCTGCTCTGGAGGAAGCGGATTGCTGCCTTTGGCTGGTGGCCTCCAAGTGCCCCTCAAAAACCCCAGGGAGATGAATGGGCCTTGTGAACTCTTGCATACACTTTCCTTGATGTGATTGGAGGGTCACAGACTTCGGAGAAAAACAGACCAGTTCCTCCTGTCTGCCCTTCAGTCAAAGTAGTCTTAGACATTTTTTTAACAGCAAGCTGTTTTTAAGTGGCTGATACTGAGTGATATCACATATGCAGAGAGTCACAGCAAGGTTTTCTGTCTTGAAAAAGCTTAATTTCCTGAAGCACATATCAAAATCCTACCCTATGAATCCCTTCAGTGCAACAGAACTCTCCTAGTTAAAATTCTACACAAGCATATTTCTTTCCTCCCTGCTCCTTGAGGTACCATTCTCTCTATGTACTCTACAATAACAACTGTGCCTTTGCTAAAATTGAACACAATAACCAGGTCTTTGTAGAGGATAATTAACAGCCAGCAGTGAATCTTTGTGCTGATTCAATGGGATATAAGTGAGTGATGAAAATTCTTCTTTGTTGGAGAGGTAATGGGTTATTGTTACATTTACATATGCTTTGCCTGTTGCATGATAGCATATTTATGGTGTTCGTCATTTAAAGTCAGAAATGTGTACACAGATATTTTGTGATTGTGTTCAGGCAGTTATGCCTCAACATGTTTGCCTCTCTTTCTGTCATTAACGAAATCCCCACTCCATCTGCATCTAATCCAAATTCCTCGTGTCCATTCTGAGCAGGATGAGTAGACCTGAGCCTCTCCAGCTGTTCCTAGAGATACAAAGGTTCATTTCTGGAATTGAATTTCTACAGTCTTACATAAACTATCTAGGTTAGTGCTCTCACATGGGATACATCACAGAGTATTTGGAGGTAAATACAGTGACGTTACACAGTTCTGAAATACGTGGAGTCCCCAGATTTTTGTGTGTTTTTCATTCCATTATAGAAAATTTTCATGCTGTTCTTCCCTATTGGATAACTAAATATAGAGGAAAAGTAGCAACTCTCATTTGAAATACTGCATGAATATTCATTGAGTGTACTCATGCATAATACTTAATACAGGAATACCTCTCAACTCCAAGGCTAGAAAAAACTATAGAATAATTGAAATGAGAACATAGTCTTTCTAAAGACAAAATACTAGTGACCATTGTTTAAAAAGGCAAGAGGAAGAAAATATGTCCAGATATGTTTAAAAAATAATTAGTAAATAAAATTTTATAATAATTAATAGAACAGCTCTCACCTGGCTGCACATTGCAAATGAGCTCCTGCATCACCAGGACATATCAAGATGCAACTGCAGTGGCCAGACAGGGATGTGTGGAGCTTTGTCACTGCTGTTACTGGGTTTGCATTGCTAAGCACACAAAAAAGTCAGGAATGCTGCCAGAAGAGGAGCCTTTTCATCTGACCTTAGGCCTGTGAAATGGTTGGAAAAGCAATAGCATGATCTCTGGCACATCAACAAGTGTGCCAGGCAACCGGGCTGGTGTAGGAGTCCTGGCCAGCAAAGAGCCTCAGCAGGGAATTTCCCATTGCAGGTCAGGGTTTGCCCAAACTGGAGAGACGGTCACATTTCACACCAGAACTCCTCACTCCGGGCCTCACACCATTTCTGTAATTGCTGCAAATAGGTAGGGCTTTCTTCTCCCCTGCAACCTCAAAATCCCCTTTCAGTCTAGTCAGGTATTCACACCAGAAGTGTGTTTCCAAAGTGGAGATTTTAAAACAGGATGAGGAGTAAATAACATTGCAGCCATCAGCTGCAGACAGGCAGCTGACATGGCCTCCAAAGCTGCCCTCAGAGCCTCTGACCTCCTCTGCCCTTGTATCATATTTTCTTTGAAAATTAACAGGGATGAGATGTTTTACAGGATGGTTTATTTGTTTGTTTTCCTTTTGAAATGTAGGTCCTCTCTCTCCCAGAAGGGATTCTGGCTAACTGAGCAACTAATGAAACAATAAATATTGTCTGAGACAGGGGAGCCAGAATCTGGAGGGGTAACTTTTTTCCTGTTTTTAATCTGACTGCTTAGCATTCCTTCTTCCTGGCTGACATCTACTGGAGTTTGGTCATCAACTGACAATTTGGAGAAAAAAAAAAAAACTTTTTGTAAAATATTCAAGAGGTCCATTCCTTGTAGCAAAGCCTCCACACTAACACACAGCTGCCAGCCCACAGAATCGTGTTTCAGGCAAAACTAGCCTTTAGTACTGTGCACATTTTAGGGGTTAAACAGAGCTAAAAAAGAGGGTTTGTCTTTTAAGTGTCTGTCCACTGCCTTTATAACCATCACACAAAAGAAAACAATAAAAAGAAAATAAGAATTGCTCTGTAAATCACCTGTGGACAGGAGACATGATGAGTAGGAGAGATATTTAATTCATTTGGAGGGATTTCTTCCACACATCGTAAAATACGTGCTCTGTAGTCCTTAGCAAATGTATCCTGCACCGTGGTATAAATGAATGTGAACAGTTTGAACTGCTGGCCAGAAGGGCAAACTCGACAAGTGCTGCACTTGAAGTTATTCATTGCACAAACAGTTTAAAACGAGTCTGATTCTGCAGAGGTGCAAAAAAGTCACTCTTTGTACAGGAGAGTTTTTTGACATTAAATTAGTTTCAATAGACGATGATGGAGATGCACATGGTGAATTTGTAACTATGGGGAAGCAGAGCATTGCTTGTGACCCAGATAAAATCCGAAGAGCTTTGCCGATGTCCGCGCAGGAGGAGCCCTGCCCGCCCGCCCCGGCCCCGCAGCTCCCTGCCTGGGCTGACAGCGCTCCAGCACCTTTCCCAGCTCCAGCAGCCTCGTCACAGCCACAAACAAACACGGATTACTACACTGAACACGTCAGGCTAAGTCAATAGTTTAATAACCACTATTAAAGCTTTTCCAAATCCATTTAACAACTGTAAATTATTCCAAAATAAAATAGCCTCAGCCAATCAGCTGTATAGTCACTGACCCACAACTATGTGCTTATTTCTCAATTAAGCAAATGTCCACATGCTGGTTGGCTTCAGCTGCTTTTGCGGTTTTGTATGTTGCAAGTTTCAGTATATAAATCCCTGTCCCCTGCCTGAGAGCTTCAGCTGTTTCCGACACCAGGTACTGCAGCTTCCCCTGGAAGCTGGAGGCGAAGCTGGAGCTGGGATAAACTCTCCCTCCAGCCGTGCCCTGCCCTCTCGCATCCCACCCAAATCCGCGCTGCCCAGGGCGGCACCGCCCCGAACCCCCATGCTAACCTGCGCCAGGAGAAGTTCGCCCTCCGGCTGGAGCCATCCCTGAGCTCGCTGGGGCCGAGCCAGGGCAGCTACCCTCGCCTGTGGGAGCGGCATCTCGGCTCCAGAGCTCGCTGGGTCCCGGGCACCAGGAGCCAACCTGGCGGCGGCAGCGCCGGGGCTGGGGCGGGAGCAGCGCCGTGATGAGCCCGTGGCACCGCTCCGGCGTTCAGAGACAGAGGGGCTGTGATCGCCAATCAGCCCGTCGGGGGGAGCCGGGAGAGCCCGGCAGGCACAGCAGGAATAATTGGAGGGAGCTCCTAATTAATTTGATAATAACCCTATCCTGTGTTAACGCTCTCCACATGCAAAAAATGGCTAAAAAGTGCCAATTAGCAGTGAAAGTGAAAGAAAGCACGTAACGGGGAACAAGTGAACCTCGCAGCCAAGACCTGACGGCACACAGGTGTGCCAGGCCCTCGGCGGCACCGTCCTTTCTCCGGGACAGGAGTGACGTGCCTCGGTACCCTTGTGTCTGCTACAGCATGTGTCTCCCATGGAATGAGTTAGGATCCTTCTCCGTACTTGCATCCAGCAAACAGCTCATGATACCTTCTAGGTGTGCTCTAAATTCTTTTCCTGGCCGGTTTTTCAAGACCTAAACTCCTCATCCTCCTCAAATGCAGGGGAGTCTGTGGGACCTGCAAGCCCTGTGGAGAGGTAGAGCCAGAGTACAGGGCCCCAGCTCCTTCAAAAGCAGGGCTGCAGCTGCATGGCCAAACCGGGCATCAACAGACATCTCAATCCCTCCGCAGCCATCACCTTTTTTATCTTTCCTGTGCCTGGTCCAGTGTGTCCGTCGGGAGGTTCGGGATGAAGAGGGCAGAGCAGCCCCCACGAGCTCCCTGCCCAGCTGGCACTGTCGCTGCTGGTGCCAGCAGAGCCGGCCCGAGGATAGCACCTGCCTGGCAGCCCTCTGGAGAGCCAGGACATGCACGGACCCCAAAGCTGCCCCTTGCCCCCTGCAGCACTCATCACCAGCTGCTCCAAATCAGATTTACGATTTAATTTCTAAATACTCATGTTGGCCTGCCACCAGCATTTAAGATAGCCTTTTTTTCCCTTCTTCTATTAGTCTGTGCCAAGCTGTTTTGTATTTTTACTCCTGAATTTTCTCAAAACTATAAGCATCCTGTATTACAGCCTAATCCCAGGGCCAAAACTGGCAATTTAAATGTATTTTCCAGAAAATAGACAACTTGGATGTCATTACATGTTGTTAAAGTTTTACCAGGTATCTTGTACTCAGCACTTACAAAGCTTCCATAAAGGATGCAGCTATTATGAGCTCCAGCTCACATTCCGGGCAAATATGAAAGAGAGTTTTTTAAAATAATATTTGTGAACCAAAGTCCGTGCTCTGTGAATACTGTTGTGATTGTTGGAACACACAAATGGCAGCTGTTTTACTTATTTCCTAATCCTACAAAGCAGAGGGCAGGTACAGGCATTTGTGTATACCCATCACTGAGCAGTTCATAGAGCTGACAAAGAGAGGAAAGCAGGGAAGAAACAGGGAGTTGCTGCTGGCTCCTGTTGGGACTAGAGAAGAAAAAGGGGACTGGAGTCCAACAGCCCATCTTACAGCAGCTCCCATTCACACAGCACGAGGTAATTTCCAGCCACTCGATACCCAGCACCTGCTGTCAGGCACGGTTGGGATGAAACAGATGCCTCCAACAGAGCAGTGTCCCACATCTCAGATTCACCAGCCCTTGGGAAGGTCAGCCAGGGGTAAATGGATGAGAGGAGAGTTGCAGGAGACTCTCACCTGGGTGGGGGTGAGCCACACTCCAGCACCCTTGGCACACCCTTGTGTCCTCAGCTGAGCTGAATTCATGTTTAACAAAGCCTCAGAGGAACTTCCACCCTTGAGGAGCCCCCCAAGCTGAGGAAGCAGAGGGAGCTCCAAGTTGCATCGTGTACAGGAGTGAAAAGTGGGGTTTGCACCTGTGCAGCAAAGCCAAGCAAGACTCCTCTCTGCCTGTGGCAACACTGGGGCCAAATTTTGGGTTTTAAACAAAGACAAAAAGGAAAACTCTCTCCAAACATTCATAAGCCTCTTTAGAAAGGTTCAATTTAAGATAAACCACAAACTAGGCACCTTGCCATGGGACTGCATTGCTTTTAGCTGACCCCATATGTGATGGCAACCTGAGCAGGCTGTTAAATGCTGAAATGCAGCCCTCTGGCCCCCAAGGCAACTTCCTCCTGCAAATGCCAGAGCCAAATCTCTGCAACAGCAAGCTTTAAATCTGAAACACAAACTACCCTCCCATCTCATTAGAGAATCAAAGTATTCCTGGGACACCACGAACAGTATATTGAATGCCCAAGTTCGGGATTAGGGAGGCTACATCTCACTGCTCTGAGAGCACTCATGTTTGGGAAGTGTTGTTAAATAATAGTGGCAGTGCTTGGTCAGAGCATAGTCTGCCTTCTGCCTTTTAATTGGATAACAATACCAAGAGGCTGTGCTTCATACCACGTGCAGTAGAGAAGGCACTGGTTGTGAAAACCATCCCTACCACTGCTGTCAGCTCCTGTACCAGCACACTGCACAGGAGAAGGCATCTGCTCCTCTTTCCATGGGAATTTATTGACTTTAGACTGCATTGCAGTAGAGCAGATTCACCCCCCAGTAGAAACAAGAAATAAAACACACTCTTTCCTTAGAGCAAGAGACCAAAACTGAAACATGTGACAAAGTTAAAAAAAACCCAACACACATAACTTTGATGTATTTGATGCAGGAAATGACATGGTTTCTCTACTACATTGCTATGAAATCTTAAGTGAAAGATTGCTTCCAGCAGAACACACTGATTAAATCTGAAGAGATTTAAGAAAAATTAAGATTCCAAGGCCCAATTAATTTTCTGATTAAGAAATCAAGATGGGTAAGAAATTGGGAGTGGCAGCTGAGTTGCAAGTCTTTCTTCCTTGATTGTGCTTCTGTATATTAGAGAAGCTTTAAAATCCAAGGTACAGGAGAATAAAAAGCTGACCTTTGATGTATGTGATATGCCATAAACTAGAAACAGTCCTCCAGATTTCTGTTTGTCAGCTTTGCATTTATGAAACAGAAGCTGCCTTTGAATATAGTTTAACATGATTACAAGTCTTTCTATGACTGAAGTTCTCTCTTAAAGGGAGCAGCCTACATATATTGTGCCCCTTTTCCTTCATGGAATGTTAAGAAAAAAGGTCTGAAAAGTTTGAGGGCCATTGCTTCCCACTTGCCTTTTTCCTGGAATCTCAAATTTATGCAAAATCTTGTACTTTTTTGCTAGAGGAAATTTGTAGGTTATTTTGGCTTCTCTGTGAGGGTAGAGGGACTTCCTTGCTCCTATGGAAATGTAGGAGAAAGACAGTTTGCACGGAGAGAACTTTGCTTATAAATGTACTAGTAACAACCATAACAATAAAACCAGTCCAAATAAGAAACATTCCTGTGTGCTGGGCAAGGATATTGTGCACTTGGCAAAAGTGAGCCCATATTCTCCAGCCAGCCAGAGTCTCGCAGAACAGATGTGCTGGTTCAGTGTTCAAAAACACACAACTGACAATCAAGACCCTTTCCAAGGTCTCCTTTACACATTAAAAATAAAGCAGCATGTTATTTTCAAGGAATAGTGACTAGAAATAATTTCTGCACAACCACGTTCCTAACAAAATCTAAACCTCCAGCTGAAAAATTTGACATGAAGGGGGAAACCAGCCAAACTTACCCCAGTGATGAGGAGTTTGAGAGACTTCCCCAAGCCCAAACCAGCCACATGCAAATGCTAGAATAAGGGTTTACTGAAAAAACTGGGGGGAAAGGGAAGTCACCCAGGAGTAAAGTCAACTATAACTGAGATTCCAATGTACTGCAGGTAGTGAAAACTGTCTAACCCCCTGAAGTTTGCAATCCTCATCTAAAGTACTGTATACTCCATAAGTAAAACCTCCTGCCCCAGAAATCCAAGGGAGGGTGAAAGAACTCACTTGAAGGTTTGTCTCTTTGAAAAAGACCTAAGGAAAGAAAAAAGGTCCATTTCAGGGCTCACAGAATAAGAGTATTTAGATACTCCTCCTTAAGAAAGGACCCAGAAGCAAGCAAGGTTTGTGCCATAGTTTAAATCCAGGTTCCCAGGAAAACTTGCTTACAGAAAGATGAGAAGATCAGAGGATCATTACTGCAGAGGATTCAGAGAAATTATCTCCTAATACACAGTTGAAGACAGAACTAGTCTTGGTCTCTCTTTGGCTTGAACCTCTACTGAAATTTAATGCTGACAAATCAAAAAGGGATATATCCAGAATTTGTAACCCTGATAAAAATGGGAAATCTGTATCATCTTAATCAAAGGATATGCCACCCTGAGCTGGATCTGTGTCTTGTCCCTTGGCCTCATATGACTCCTGTGTGCTAGAGGTTAAGGGTTTGTTAAAGAATATCGGTTTTGATTAAGTGTCACATATGGTGTGAAACATCCTCTTTATCACTGGCAGTGAAGGTTGGGGGCCAGACAGTGCCTTTTAGTGAGCTTCTAATATAAATTAGGTGTCTTAGGTAATGGGTGGTTTTCAGACAGGATTGATCTTTCTATGGTCCAGTGCAAGTAGGTGTGTTTGGTGAGATGTCACAAAAGCAGCTTCCTGGCACCTATACTAATGGGCTGGTTACCCCTTTTGGAGTAGGACTTGAAAAATATAGCACAGGAATCCCCCCCTCCCCCTTCCTAACTTTTTCATTTTCTTGATGTAATGGGCAAAGGTCTATATATCCTTTACTCCTTTGGTATTTTAGTCCTTGTATTTGCAGTATCACTCAGTGAATCTTAAGCCACTCATCCTTTTAGTCACTTACACCTCCCTAAACTTGCATGAACTTAAAGATGAAGTGGTTATGAGTAGACTGGGTTACTTACTATTTTTATCAGTGTACAACCTTTAAAGAAAAACGTATCAAGGACACCATCACTACCAAACCAAATTATTTCTGTTCCCCATTAAGTCCTTCTTGGAAACTTTGATGGCACAGAAATCTAAGAAGAACTGTAGAGATGTTAAACCCTAAGTTCCCCTGCCTCAAAAACAAGAGCAAACATGCATTTCTATAGACATCAAAATGTGTCTGTATTTTCCTCTTTATGAAGCAGAAATTCTCTCAGCTTTGTGCAGAATGGCATGATCAAAAGCACAAACTGAGCTCATGAGATCCAGAAGCTGTAATGCAGAGTCTAACTATAGACCTCAGGTAAAGAGGGTATACACAAAATAAGCCTTTCCTTTGTTGTTGTTAAAACTTTCCTGAAAAGTTTCCATGAGTTTATGAAGAAGCAAAAGCATAAATGTTGGTATTGCAGGCTCATAAACTCAGCTGCTGAACAAAATCCTCAAATCTTTAAATATGCAAGAATATGTAATAAACATTTTAATATTTCATTGCATTTCCCACATACCTACTCATAATTTGAGCACTGGTAAATAACAAATTTGATAAAAATATTTAGATAATTAAGAGAATTCTATTCTGATTCTGACCAGGAAGGTTTCCTTGGACTCCAATTTAACTAACTGGGATAACAAAGATTTAAACCATGATTACCCTTAATTTACTTATAAAAATGTATTTGTCTTTAGGCAAAGATAGGCACATCAGTAACTCCAAGCTCAGAGTAGTTTCACTGGATACAGTGGGATCATTATGATTAAAATTGCATTTTCCTGAAAACCAAAACAGAACTGGCCCTAGATACGGCCTTCCTTTCAGGTTATTTCAGATATGAACTCTTCTGTTAACAGGGGACACCAACAAAGCATTTTCTCTCTCCTACCTGAGGACATCTCCTGCTTATTTTTTCTTATTTGCTCATTATTATAATGAAGTCATTTTGTCACAGTGCTTTTGAATATCTGTCTTTTTAGAGATACTTTCCATAAAATGAATTAACTAGTTGAGGTTTGGGGTTTTTAATACCATGGAATAAAGGACACTCATTCCTAATCTCCACTTGGGTGAGGGCTCCTAAGGGAACCAACATGCTTGCCAGGCACTGGGATCCTCAACCAGGCCCTCAGCAAGGCTCAAGCACCAAAATGCCTTTGGTCTCCTGGGCTGGTCTTTGAGCCCCAAAAAGAAAACAACTCTCTTATTTTGAAGGCGCCCACTGTGATAGTGTACTACTTGATTTCTAATGCATTTAAAGAGGTTTTGTCCCAAATAAAGACATCTAATGGAATACAGATAACATATGGATTCTTACTGATTGCTGGAAATAGTCCATGAATATTTCTACGATACGATCTGACACAACATTAAAATACAAGCCCTGCAAATAGAC